GAGTGGCCAACCCATGATTGGTCTAACTTGTGGCATATGTCATGAGAGGGACACAGTCTAGATGACCAGGAACCAGAAGCAGAACAGCTCAGAGACCCAGGATAGAACTAAACAAAACTGGAAAAAAAAGTCAATGAAATGATTTTTAATGATATTCTGCTGTACTCATAGATCACAATTGTGATCAGAGGGGAGTCATCTAGCAAGGGATGGGAGTGGATGCAGAGCCCACAGCCAAACACCAGGTGGAGCTAGAGGAACCCAAAGAATGGGGGTGGGCATTGTAGGACCAAGAGGAATCAAGAACACCAGGAGAACAAGGCCCATAGAATCAACTAAGCAGGGCTAATAGGGGCCCACAGAAACTGAAGCAACAAACGTGGATTCTGTATGGGTCTGACCTAGGTCCTCTGCATATACCTTATGATTGTTTATCTTGATGTTCTTGTGAGGCTCCTAACAGTGCAAACTGGGGGTGGGGTGGGGTGGGGTGTCTCTGACTCTTTTGCCTGCTCTTGGGACCCTCTTCCTCCTGCTGTGTTAACAGATCCAACCCTGATATGAGGGTTGTGCCCAGTTTGATTGCAGCTTGTTATGCCTTGTTTGGTTGATGCCCTGTGAAGTCTCCTCCTCCTCCTCCTCCTCCTCCTCCTCCTCCTCCTCCTGCTTCTCTTTTTGAAGGGAAACAGGAGGAGTTCATCTGGGGGGAGGGTCTGGGAGGACTGTATGGAGGGCAAACTGCCACCAGGATGTAATGTATGAAAGAAGAATAAAAGTTAAGAAAGAAAAGAACAGCATTCATAAATTTAGATCTTCTGACTCGAGTTATGGTAAAGCTAGAAGTATAACCTCCTTGACAGGATATGAATATATCCCAGTATTCCATGTCATTGACAAAAAAGACATAGGATGTAGTTCTGACAACCTACACACACTTCCCAGTGGCTTCTCTGCTTCCTCTTTTCACTCCTAACTCTTCCCCTTCTTCCTTCAGATACCACCTAATTTCCTCTCTGAAAACAGGTATTTGCATTTCATTTCCTCCTCAATAAAGCGTCCTGAGTCTTTGATGTCTCTAGCCCACCTTGCTCTCATGTGCCTCACCTTCCTTGTGTATATTGTTTGCTTTTGTGCTCTCCACATGCCTCATGAAGGGTCTTCTCACTGCCCTCCATTTGCAATGGTGTTCTCCCATCGATAGCAGGAAAGTTCTGCTCAATTCGGAAATCTGCTTTGGTGGCCTGAATCTCATCTGAGGCTGGGCTTTTATCTTCCAAAGTTTCTCTAGCTGTTTGTTGGTTCTTTTAGCATAATACAGTTATGCAGCCTTGGGTGTTTGTTAGTCTCCAGGCAGATAGTCATCACATCACAGCCATCTTTCTGTCTCCCAGTGGGGCCTAGTTTCAGGTTTTCTACAGAGATTAATTTGCTCAGTGGATGCTGGATTAAAATGCTTGAAAAGGTGTAAGTCATGGAATTTGTTCCTGTTATGCTCTGGAATCACTGTAGTTTGAATTTTACTGTGGAGCACAAAAAGATGATTTTCTCACCTTTTGTTTAGGAAGTGCGTTGGAATTGTTTATAGTGAGATGACCAAAATCCTGGAGAAGTTATGTGTGTGAAAATCATCATATTGTACAATCATTCTCGATTTTCAGAATCCTTTTGACTTTTTTAAAATGTGAAATTCTGAGATCTTAGCAGGGTGTCATGCTGTTCTGTAATGTGGTGCAGTAGGATCTTGGAGAACCAGAGACTCTAAGGACCCAGCACTTTCCTACTTTAAACCAGATCAGTTATCCTGAGGGAACAGCCCTCACCTCATGTTATTTTGTTAATGCCACTCTACTTATTTACCTGTTTATATTTAGTAAAATGAGTTGATAGCAAAGGTCCTCACAGATTGTCCATCCTGAATGATATACAGGATAGCTTTTGGCTGTCAGTGCTGTAATGTTAAGTTTTTGTTGAAGGACCATCCTACCTTGTTTTGGCAAAGTTCAATGGTCATTTTCCTGTGGGTCCTGCATGTCCAGTTTATACAACATGCTGTCAAGCAGTCCAGGCAATAGTAGCTTCTTGCTAGCCTTGCCACATTGAAAGCAAACTCCATAAGGAGTTTCTTCGATGCCCATCATCTCTGAAGTAAATTGGTGCTGCCAGGAACAGATGTGTCTCATTGTTATGAAAAGCTGTAAGTTAACAAAACATTTTAAATGCCATATTCTGTAGGTCTTTGAAAGGTTTGAAGACCATCTATCTATCTAAAATATATCTCTATATGATCTGGAAAGCAAACCTAACGTATCTACAATTTTGATTGTTATATTGACTAACCACTAGCCTATGTTTCCTAATTATCCTATGTAGTTTATAATAATAGCTTTCAAAAACTAGAACTTCACCCTACATTTCCAATTGAATTTCATAGGCAGAACACCTCAAACAAAAATAGAAACATACATACAGTATTTTGTGTCTTTCGACTTCACGTAATTTACTACATTTTTTGTGAGGCTAATTCTTGGCAGCATCGCCTATAGTTAGTCTGTACAAATCACCCCATCACCCTCTAGTCACCATTCTCATACCTTTTCAGAATATTAGGTTGATACCCTTTAGTCATTTTCTAGAGCCTTCTACGAGAGCCCGAAGCTGAAGGGTACATTTTTGCCATTGTTGGCTCCATGATATTGGTAAAGCTGTATCACCTTTCATGCTTTACTACCAAAATAGGAACAAGAAATGCTTTTATACCTCTTGGTTATCATGAGCACATGACTTTGCAAATCCTCAAATGAAAAGCAGATCTAAAAAAAAGAAAGCATCAAACAGATAAAGTCTTAGGGAAATTAAAAACTTACATCTTTAAAAATAGGCTCTGTGTAGAGAAAAAATCTCTAACAGAATTTGGCAAGTTCCGTGGTGTAGATGTCTAACTCTTCACTGACTTCAAATGAGGCATGACTGGGCAGGGGTGGGGTGGAAGGGAGAAGAGTATGGCTGTCTCCTGAGGTCCTTGGAGCAGGCTCTAGGCGTCACTGACCTTCAGGAGAAGTTTCCTATTCACCTGTGCTTTTTATAGGACATAAAGTAAAGTAAAAAGCAGTCTACTGAAACTTAAAATTGTAATTGAGCAATTTTCCTGATGAGAGACTTTATTTTGTAAATTTATTTTGGGACTGTGAATACAGGATTCCTCATAAAAAAATCAATTCCTTTGTTAATTCAAAGTGGCATCAGGTCTTAGCTAAATTTTGTGGAGGAATTAAAATATAGATTTTGTTTAAAACTTCCAAAACTTCTTTCAGGAAGTTGTTTCCAATGATTGTATTCCTACATAACTAATTAGTCATGGACACAATACATAATAATGAAGGAGGCAGGGCTGCTGTGTAGCTCAGATAGAATATTTGCCTAGCATGCATGTGTATTCCATGCATCCCAGTGCCAACTACAAAGGAAAAGCATGTACATGTTAGGTGTTAATACATATGTTTTAAACAGGTTATATGAAATTGCTTGTCAACTGCTAGTGATTGGTAGGTGTTTCAAATTACTACTGACACTTGTGTTCAGGTGTTTTTAAAACCATAGAATGCAGATATTAGGAAGAAGTCCTGGGTTCAGGTCCTCTGTCTGCTTCAAAGTACAGTATTCCTGCATAAGTTACTAGTTTCTAACAGCTTGAGTTTGAAAATAGGAGTCAATATCAAGTAATAACACCTTCCTGCTAATGGTGTTGAGAAGATAAAGGAGATAAAACTGTTGCTGATATTTGAAGTTGTGTATGATAATACCTCCTGCAAAATCTTTTTGTTAAGAAATCTTTTGACTCTCCTTGGTCTGTGTGTTTCCATATGAATTTTAAGATGGTGTGTGTGTGTGTGTGTGTGTGTGTGTGTGTGTGTGTGTGTGTGTGTGTATGTGTGTGTGTGTGTGTGTGTGTGTGTGTGTGTGTGTGCACATGCATGCACTTGTGTGCTACTTGTGGGGCCCTAATATGTATCTTTTAAAAGTTGAGTTTGATGACCACCCAGAGTGAGCCAAACAAGGATGACACCAAATGAACTTGTCAGATGGGATCGGGAAAAGGCCCAAAGCCTCAAGTCTGGGCAGTGAACTACAGGCAATGGAGTAAAACTTGGGGGCAGGAATGATGGTCCTCCCCAGAGAAGCACATACCAATTACTTGTCCAGTGAGGACACACACACACACACAAGTAACATTGTATGGACTCAACAGGTTAGATTTAGGAATATATATGTATATACAAATGCATATATACATGCAATAACAATTAGTGAACAAAGGCCATAATTTGACGGAGAGTAGGGAGAGGTATTATGGAGGTTTGGAAGGAGGAACAGGAAAGTAGAAACACAGTTAAATTATACTCTTAAAAATAAATGAGTAAAAAAAATGTTGAGTTTGGTTATACCCAAATAAAGGTAGATCAGAAGGGACTTTATTATAGTACTGGTGATAGACAGCTCATTCATACGATTCTCCTATGTCCCATGAGAGTAGTATCAATGATACATTGTATGAGAAGTGTGTGAGTCTTTCCTAATATCCAGGAAGGAAAGAAAAAGAAGGAAGTTAAGCCTTTTGTAGATGGGGAAACCTGACCAGTCAAAAGCTTCGTCTTGAAGTTTCCCTTTGGGGATCTTCTCTAATAATGCCATCTTCACTCAACAGTTTGCCCAAAATACCCAGGAAGTACTTCTCTTCCATTGATGTCAAACTGACTGTTTCCTCAGCCTTTCTTATGGTTCGTATCTGTCATCTTTGGTACCTTATCGTGGTACCTGTCACTTAGCAAGTGTTTGAGATGTTCCAAACCGATGCAAAGAACGTTTGCTTTGTGCTCCGTTTCTGTGTGCGAACAAGAGCGCTAAACTCTTGTAGCAGTGTCCGGGTGCTAGATGTGGATTATGTGTGGTGTCATTCAGCTGTAGCCGCTCAGCTCGCTCTTTCCTCCCTGTCTTTCCTTCAGGCAGAGAGCCTGGAAGACAAGAATATGGCTAAAGCCCACCGCTGTCAGCTGGAGAAACTGACGTCCCAGTGTGAGAAACTGACGGAGGAGTTAGCCCAGAATGAAAATGAGAACAGGAAACTGAAGCAGAAGTACCAGTGTCTGAAGGAGGAACTAGAGGAAAAGGTAACCATGGGACGGAATCCCCATTTAAAGGATTCATCTCTCAAAATGGACTTCGTTGATGCTACTTAACAAAGAGTATTCTGAGTCTTTAGAAAAGCCTTATTGGTGCCAGAAAAAAAGATAGTTTATTAGAATGCTCTGATTTTTGTTATTTCTTCCGACCAGTCACACTCGGGGACATTTGTTTTCAATTTCTTACTAGGCTTTCAGGTAGGAATTCAGAGGCAATGTTAGTTTGGAATTTGCAATTAAGTATTTTTACATTTAGGGATTTCAGTGTACTGTCTTGTCTGCCTACCTATGTGTCCTCCCTCTGCCCTCTACTTCCCCCTCCTCTTCTTCTCTCTCCCCCCCCCCAGCCTCCTGAGTGCTAGGATTCCAGGTATGTGTGGTTACCAGCTGTGCTCTACTGTTATGGCCTGCTTTGCTTGGTTCTCTCTAATACTCTGCATACTTAATGTATCTGTTACAGGTGTGTTGTTGCTGTGGATCTGACGCTACATGTTCCACAATGAAAATATAGTGTGACATGTTTTTTATTTATTTTTTATTTTATTTTATTTTGCTTTTCAAGACAGGGTTTCTTTGTGTAGCTTTGAAGCCTGTTCTGGAACTCGCTCTTTAGACCAAGCTGGACTCGAACTCACAGAGATCCACCTACCTCTGTCTCCCAAGTGCTGGGATTAAAGGTGTGCACCACCACTGCCTGGCTAAAGTGTTTTTTTTTTTTTTTTTGTGGTGACATGCTTTATATTTCTTCATCTACATTTAAGAAATAGTATCAAAGGGCTAGAGATATGGCTCAGTGGTTAAGAGAGTTTGCTGCTCTGCCAGAGGACCCTAGTTGGGTTCCCAGCACCTACATCAGGCTGCTCACAAACTGTCTGTAACTCCAGCTCCAGGAGATCCAACCCTTTCTGACCTCCACAGGCATCCATACATATTACACCTTGGTTGTCTTTTCATATCTCAGATGAGGCACAGAGGTCTGATACATATAACTGCTAGGCATGTGTATGTGCATATACACATATAGCAAGGTCAGATGGGAAAACAACAATAACAAAATAAGATAAAGCAAGCAAGCAAACAAACAAACCTGCTGTTAGTGAAGGAAAGGCTAAGGACTAGTAACCTTTAAGTTACTATTTACGCGGCACAGTGACTTGGCTAATGTGACTTCATGAAGTGAAACAGATAACAGGGTTTCCTTTGGCAATGTTGTAACCAAAAGGTAAGCCTTTACTTGACAGGGTATTCTTGCTTGTCCATCTTTAACAGTAACATAAACATGTGGCAACCCTCTTTCACACACACACACACACACACACACACACACACACACACACACACACACAGACACACACACAGACACACACAGGTACACACACACACGTGTACACACACACGTGTGCACATACAGTGTCACACACATACACATGTATTTTCACACCTTTTAAAATATCATTTTGTTTGTGTCCTTTCTTTTGGCTGTATTTATTATCCAAAGATATGGTAAGAAATGCTAAGAATGCATTAAAGTTTGTATAAAGCATTAGCAACAGTGATAGCATTGATTGGGATTGCTGTGAGTCTGTGTGCACCAAGTAACTACCTTCCACATTTCTTACTAATATATTTAGTGGTGATGTGTTGTATTGAAATGTATTTTCTCTAACATCTGATACTTTGTCAAGTGTTATTTTTCCACTTTCAATGACAGGGAACAAGTATAGTATAACTCACAGAACATTTATACATGCATTTCAGACTTTTTTAAAGCCTATTATCAGAGAAAATGCTCTTTTGAAATGTTACAGAATTAATTTTCTTCTATGCATACTGTCATTAAAGTTTATTATTCCTTTTGCTTCAGTTTTATAGGAAAATTATTTATTTTTTCCATTGTTCTAAAATAATCTTGTCGATGTTAACCTGTTGATTGTTCTGGCATTTATCTCAAAATTCATAATCATGTTCATTATACCTGAGACATATTTGTATTGGTTTCACTAACATGTGGAGAGCCACCAGAATTAGTGGGTAATTCTATCAGCTTTGCTCAGCAAGTAAGCATAATGTTTCTCCATTGATAGTTTAAATGTCTGAAGTACACAGCACTGTGTCCGATCTAATTTTAAAAAGTCATAATCTAATAGGCAGAGGTTTATGAATGATGCTGTTATTCCTTCAAGAGGTTTCAAAGTGATTGTATAGATTGGGTAGCTTGTGTACTAGGATGGATTTTAATGTTGAACATGCTTATACAATATTGTAGAAATAACTCGGTGCTTAAAATTATGACAATATTTAATAGATTATTATATTTATACTATACACATTGCTGGCACCAAAAGGTGATGGCAAGAGTTTCCACCTAAAACATGAGAGAACTTATTAAAACAGAGTTAAGAACAGCTTCCTAGTTCGTATGTCTCATGGGGACCGTGGTACAGAGATGCCGCTGTACGGAGACACTCTGGCATTCGATTTGAGCACACCATGGTGGATTCTCGCCACAGTACACAGAGCTGTCTCCAAGCCATGCAGCGCACTGCATGGTGGATTTAGCTTTTGCCAGCACACACACACACACACACACAAACAAAAAAAGATTTCTGGGCTACATGCTGCTTGATGGAGGCATAGACCCACTGCTTCTCAGAGTCGGCGGTGAGCATGGCTCCCAGAGCTGGTGGTAAATGTATCTCTGCCACATTGGGAAGCTGAGGGGGGTGGAGTTAGCAGCCAGGGCTGCATCTTTCATCCTAGCCATGCAGCTGAACAGTTTAAAATCTCTCCTGGCCCCCAAAAAAGATTATAGGTACACAATAAGACAGATTCAGATGGAACAAACCTCTAAATGGTTTACAATGTATGTAAAAGATACATAGGCTTGCGAGAGAGAAGAGAGAGGATATAGTCATAAAAAATAAAATAAAGTCTTAAAAAATAAAATAATATATAAAAAAGTCACATAAAGATAGAAATTATACAGAAAGTCTAGATTATGTATATTATGTTTTCTTCAATTTTTTTTGTCTGTTAATGAGCTAACTGCAAAAAGACATTTGATTCTATAAAGGCTGCTAAGTTAAGCCTATATATATATATATATTAAAGGTATCTTGACTTCAAAATTTGTATCTAAGGATATGTTGCGTTGGAAAGGAGGCTCTGTTTTTGTTTCTATAGGAAGCAAGAAGCTGTGGATTTGTTCCAGGTTCAGGTGGATCAGATTTGATCAAGTGAGACCTCCTGAACCTTGATAGATGATATCTATCAACAAATGTTATAGCTGGTCTTCCCAGGACTTGACCATTATCTCAAATTTTCTCAGGATCCCCATAAGATTGCCTGTGCCCCTAATCAGCAGGAAGTAGTATGAATTGTGTATAATGTTTATTTTTATTTAAAGGGGGTTGATTATAAATGCAATCTCTTTCTAAAGAAGAAAAGGGGATATAGATATGATAGAATAAGAGGGTAGATTATTAAATCCACACAACTTATTTGAAATATTTTACATTGCTATGGACTTTAGTTAATTGATACAAATTTAAAGTTAATTTTGTTATACTGTATATACATTTCTACTCTTGTTTAAGGTATTTTGTTTATACAACTCATTTTAAATTGTAATATATAATTAGGAAATACAGATAATAATTAGTCATTTATGATAATTAAACTTATAGTCATATTAATTAAATTTACTAGGTATACATAGATATATTTCAATTAAATAGGTAATCTTCAAAGACCTACAGAATATGGCATTTAAAATGTTTTGAAAACTTAGACTTTTCTGGACAATGAGATGTGTCTGCTCCTGGCAGCACTGATTTACTTCAAAGAGGAAGATGGGCATTGAAGACACTCCATATGGAGTTTATCTTCTTCTTGGCAAAACTGGCCATGTGGGCAAGAATCTGCTCTTGCTTGGACTGCTTAACAATATCTTTTATAAACTGGATGTATAAGACCCATGGGAAAATGACCACCAAACTTTGCCAAAGCAAGGTGAGATAGTCCTTCAGGTTCCTGCTTCACGGGAGATAGTGTCAGACATTCTGCAGGACACAGAAGAAAGTGACTGATAAACTTTGCCAATAGGCGAGACAATCCTTCAAATTTCCTGCTTTACTGAATGTCTGCCAGGGACTCTAGGCCTGTAGGCTGAAGATGGATGCCCCAACGTTGCAGAGGAACTTTGGGTAGTTGTCTAGGCAGCCAGCTGTCTCTCTCATTTCTAGAAATTTGGAAGTTGCTTATAATGCACTTCCTGTTTACTCAGGTAATATTATATCCTTCTGAGGTCTTTGATAGAATTGAAGACTAGATAGTTATAATTATAGTTTTCCTTATTCATGATAAAATGTAAATTAGATATAAAACTTTAGACACACAAGAATAGGATAGATAGAATATTTTCTTTAATTTTGCCAAATACAAATAGACTACATATATATTGTAATTCTTGCTTGATAACTATTTTGTTATATATAATTTTACTGTGTTAAAGTTAAAACCTTCCCTTTTGATTAGACAGAAAAGGGCAAATGCTGTGGGATGTCTTTTTTTTTTTTTAAAGATTTATTTATTATGTATACAGTGTTCTGCCTGCATGCCAGAAGAGGGCGCCAGATCTCATTACAAATGATTGTGAGCCACCATGTGGTTGCTGGGAATTGAACTCAGGACCTTTGGAAGAACAGCCAGTGCTCTTAACAGCTGAGCCATCTCTCCAGCCCGGGATGTCTTTCTTTATGCTATGAATGTATGTGGTTCTCATTGGTTGATAATAAACTTGTTTGGCTAATGGTGAGGCAGAATAAGAATAGGCGGTATATTAAACAGGAGATGGAGAGGAAGAAGCGTGGAATCAGGGGACACTGTGAGCCACTGCCAGGAGAGGCAAGATGTGAGAGAACAGCTAACTCCATGAAACTACATGGCAATGCATAGACTAATAGAAATGGGCTGAGTTAAGTTGTAAG